CTGAGGGCTGCACGCTGAGGGCTGCACGCTGAGGGCTGCACGCTGAGAGCTGCATGCTGAGAGCTGGCCTGTGGCTGCACGCTGAGGCAATGCTCAGGTTCAGGGAGAAACCAACAGGAGAAGGCAGTGCTCCCGGGGATTTGGGTGAGCCCGGCCGGTGGATGGCAAAGGGTCGCCAGGTTGTAAACCACACTCTTTGCCGAGTCCCGGCGGAAGACGGTAAACATCTCCTTCCTCTCAAGAGACGAGTCTGCGCACTTGCTCCCGCCGTCCCCAGCTTAGCTGTGTGCACGAGGCCTTGTACCCACCACAACTGGGACGCATGTGAGACTCAAGAATATGGCGGCCGCTGGGGATTAATCTGGAGTACAGAGGGGGGACCTTTCCTCTCCCTCACCACGTCCAGGCCTGTCCTGTTGCTGGGCCTCTTGTCCCTCCATCTGTCCTTTCCCCTCAGGAGAGGCCTTCTGCCCTTTCCTAGGATCTCCTGTTCTCTCTCCTTTTAATTAATTAGTTTTTATTTTATGTGCATTGGTGTTTGGCTGCATGTGTGTCTGTGTGAGGGGGTCGGATCCCCTGGATCTGGAGGTGCAGACAGTTGTGAGCTTCCGTGTGGATGCTGGGAATTGAACCCGGGTCCTTGGAAGAGCAGCCGGTGCTCTTAACGGCTGAGCCGCCTCCCCAGCCCCGATCTTGTATTCTCCACTAGACTCCAGGCGCGTAGGGAGCAGAGACAGCCCGAGTGACTGAGCCCTGAGTGAGTGTGTGCTCCCGCGAAGCGGCCCTCCTCAGCGCCCCAGCCCTCCTCAGGGGCACCTGTCGAGAGTGCTGACTCCGCAGAAGAGTCCGCCGCGGCTCTCTCCCCGTGGACACCGTGGCCTGAAGGTTGGTCCCCGCACACACCGCTCCCAGGACGTTTCCTGTCAGCTTGATCCACCTGCTTCCACACACCCCGTCTCCATGTCCAGATGTATGCCTAGCTCTGTCCTCTGTCCAACTCTACGCACGCGCGATGCTCCCCTGGCCAGATGCCGAGGTCTCACCGGGTCCCAGTCCACCCGCTCCCGGCCTTCCTGTGTGTCCTGTGTGTCTCTCCTTTCTGCATTTCCTTGCCACCCCAGCCTGGTCCACCCCTGGAGATGTGATGGACACACCCTGGCCGAGGCACGGTCCATCTCCGCGCCACCTTCCCCCTCACCCCCAGCCCCCTGGCTGAGGCACGGCCCACTCCGAGCCACCTTCCCCCTCACCCCCAGCCCCCTGGCCCGGCCCACTCTGAGCCACCTTCCCCCTCACCCCCAGCCCCCTGGCTGAGGCACGGCCCACTCCGAGCCACCTTCCTGCTCACCTGTAAGCAGCAGCCCCTGCCAGGGGACACAGGTTGGGAGAAGGGCTGAAGGGGCCTCCATGGTCAGTTGTTGGCCCTGTCCTCCCTCTGTGGGGAAGAGCTCAGGATCCAGCAATGCTCCCAAACCCACTGTGCTCCTGTCAGTTCTTCTGTCCTCTGTCTGTCTGGGCTGAGCTCATTCTGGGCCTTTCAGGGTCACATGGGCTGGGGACAGGGCCTGTTGTTGTGGCTCTCCCCTGTTTCCTCCCCTTTCCTCTCCCTCCCCTGGGCTGGTGTTCAGTTCCCCATCCCCTACAGACTGAGGTGGACCTGGCCAGCCATTCACCCCAGAGCTGACCTCTGCCCGGGGGCTGTTTCCATCACAGAGGGAGGCCTTGGAGTCCCAAGCTAAGGGCTGTTTCCTTTTGTGACACAGAAACCCAGCCAACTGGTCCCCTGGCCTAATCAGGGACACCTAGGCTCTGGGGCAGCTGGACTTGCTCTCAGCAGGAAGGTGACAGGTGACTCTAAGGCAGACAAAGGGCCTAGCTGAGTCAGGATGGCTGTAGGAGATCAGCTCTTCATCTGTCATCAGCTTGGAGAGAGGTTTAGAAACAGAGCTTCATGTCCTGATATAACCCCATTTCTGAAAAAGAAATTCTATCTCAAGGGTAAATGACCTAAGCACAAACCCCAGTTTCAGGAAGGAGAAAAACCGACAAAAATATGTGTGCTTTGGCCACTCACCGCTGGCAATATTTAACCGTCACCCCTAGCGATGGCTCATCAGCGAGAACCTGAAGTTGACCCAGGAGTTCTTCACAATAGGGTGAGTAAAACAATCCCGGCTTGGCCCTCCGGACACCCGATATGTGCTAAATGTCAGTCAGTCATAGAGCTGCCAACTGGGATTTCCTGAACCTCGCTGTAACCCTAAATAAAAACCCTTCTCTTCCTGGGCTCTGGCTCTGCCCTTGAGAACACTGCGCTGGTGACGGTGTGGGCGTGAGCTCGAGCTTGTGATAAAGACCCTACTGGGCTCTGCCCTCGCCAGGTGTGGAGAGACTGAGCGGCTGCTGAGCTGTGGCTCACGTCTGCTCCTCTCCTCTCTGGCCTCTGCTCAGGCGACTTTCCTGCCATCACCTGTGGGCGATGCTTGAAGGCAATGAGTGCACAGCTTCCCCTTCCAGGACAGGAAAAGAAGAGGAAGAACGGAGCGGGCGGCTTTGAGGGACCTGCCATGTTTTGTTAGGTCAAAGTGTGGGCTGTGCATTCAAAGCTGTACACGGTGGATTCTGAGAGGGGAAGCGGGAGCTGGGTACTGCAGGGAAGAAGAGGCCTCCGCAGCTGTGAGCTTGGTGAGAACAGACTTCTTGAGGACAGTTTCAGCCAGTTGGCTTGTTTAATGGGGGGGACAAAGGCCGCTTCATCTCCTAATGTGACCTTGAGAGGGAGACACATCGCCTCGTGGTTGGGTGTGAGGGCCAGGGCTGAGGGCACTGTGTACCAGGACATGCAGCCCCCAGGCAGCGGGAAGCTCCTACTCTTGCCCATCTCAGGATGGGATTTGAGGGGTTTGGACATGCCCCGACCGGCTCCTTACTTTAGCGGGCTCCCCCATCCCCAGTCCTACAGCTGCCTGGCCGCTGGGTCCCGCTGGGCTGAGGCGGGGGCCACCTTCCTTCTGATCTTACGTTAAGCCCTGCCTGGGACATTGCAAAGCCAGGCTGTCACCTGGCTTGGGGATACACTGGCCTAGAGCAGGACGTTACGTCACAGGCCTTTTCTCTCTCCTCCACGTGGCCCAGATGCCCCAATGGTTCCCAAATACAAACATTGTGTATCTTCTCTCAAGGACAGCTTGAAAATGCTCCAAAATGAAAGCAGGGCTCTCTCTTCCTTTCGTAACTTCAGCTTTACCTAACTCAGGGAGGCTATTCCTGGGGAGAAAAGCTGTTCATGGTGCTAAGCAGGGCAAAAACAAGACAAGAAGCCACAGAAGTTTTGGCCCTACTTATTGACGCTGCTGGGGAGAGAAAGAGGTTCAAAGCCCTTGCTTTAGAGGACATGAGTTGGCTTCCCAGCACCCACTGGCTCATAACTGTCCTTAACTCCAGCTCCAGGAGATCTGACGCCTCCTTCCAGCCTCTGCAAGCACCAGGCAGTAAACTCCCACACACTCAGACAAAACACTGACGCGCATAACATAAAAACAATTTACAGCGCAGTGCAGATCCACCGGGCCTCCCTCACAGCTGCGTCCTAGCCCAGGAGGCTGAAGCAGGAAGTCATTTTGGCTCAAGGGGGGTGGAGAAGAGAGGGAGGAAAAGACTGACTGACGGATTATTGATCTCGATTTGACTGCAAAGCCACCCTATTCGTAAAGCACGCCCTGGGTGAGTCCGTGAGTAAGCTGGAGAGCACCTCGTCCACCCATCCCAAATCTGGACACGAATGTTAGCTCCTGGCAGAGCTGAAAGGGGGCCGGGGCCGGTGACCGGCGGGGGTGTCCTTGGGGGCTGCTCTGGGGCTTGGTCACTTCCATCATTGCTCTCTGTCTCCTGCCCAGCTTCTCCCTCACCCACGGCGGGTGGAAGCCGCTGAGAGGGGGAGAGAATGTGTTTTTCTGTTAGGTGTCTCCTCACAGCAATGAAAAGCCCAACCCAGTGAGTTCCGTGGAGAAGGGGGAGGAGGAGGAAAGGCAGGACAGAGCTCTGTCCGGGGCGACAGAGGTGGAAGGGTCTCTGTAAGCTTGAGGCCCGCCTGCTGGTCCACAGTAGTGAGTGTCGGGACAGCCAGGGCTACATAACAAAGGGGACAGGGAGTGGGGACTGGATACGAGAGCCCGGGGGCGGGGGGGGGTCAATGTGCTGAGGCTGGCACTTAGCTTAGCCCGTTCCCTCCCTTCCATCTTCACGGCTGAGCCCTGGCCCTGTGGGCATGTGGGCCTCGCTTTCGTAGCTTGACCTCAGACTCCTGCGCACTCAGCAGCGGGCGCCCTCTTGGCGTGTGTGTGTGTGTGTGTGTGTGTGTGTGTGTGTGTGTGTGTGGCCACAGCGGGGGAAGCTCCTGGGAAATAGACACAGGACCGCAGGGTTCCGCTGTGCCAATAAGCTCGTCCATGATTCTGCAAATAAACAAACTCTGCAGCTGACATTTTCCCCTCTGCGAGAAGCCCAGGGTTTTCTGATCTGGGGCCATCATCTGTGACAGATTTCTCTATTCTGTGAGAGAGTTAGGCAAGGACTGGGGCAAACCGCCGAAGAGGAGGTCAGGGTGGCCCGGCCACTGAGCACACTGAGGTGCTGGTGAACGGAGCACGA